CGAAACCGCTTCCTCAGATGGCTGATTCGAAGCTTGATAAGAGGCTTTCGGTTGTGAAATCGTTTAAAGCTCAGAATCAAACTGGTGATTTTGATCATACTCGGTGGTTGTTTGAGACTAAAGGCACTTATGGGTATGGAAACGCGGTTTGGCCTAAAGATGGGTATGGAATCGGGTCGGGTGGTAATGGTAACGGGTATGAACAGCCACCGGAGTTTGGTGAGAGAAGCAAGAGACCTCTCACTAGGAAAGTTAGCGTCTCTGCTGCAATCATCAGTCCTTACAGGTAACATAGTCTGCTTAAGCTTTTTGTCTGATAATTATGGTCTGTGTTTGTTCATAATTGCTAAAGTTTTGATTTTTCTTGGTGTTTGATGAAACAGATTACTCATTGCAATGCGTTTGGTGGCTCTTGGATTGTTCTTGACATGGAGGATTCGCCACCCAAACAGAGAGGCAATGTGGTTGTGGGGAATGTCAACGACTTGTGAGCTTTGGTTTGCTTTGTCTTGGCTTTTGGACCAGCTTCCAAAGCTCTGTCCGGTTAACAGAATCACCGATCTCGATGTTCTCAAAGAGCGTTTTGAATCTCCAAACCTCAGAAACCCTAAAGGAAGATCTGATCTTCCAGGTATCGATGTGTTTGTCTCAACTGCAGATCCTGAGAAAGAACCACCTCTAGTCACAGCCAACACAATCCTCTCGATCCTAGCCGTTGATTACCCTGTGGAAAAGCTTGCTTGCTACTTATCAGACGATGGAGGAGCTTTACTAACATTCGAAGCCTTGGCTCAAACGGCTAGCTTTGCGAGTACATGGGTGCCATTTTGCAGGAAACACAATATAGAGCCAAGGAACCCTGAGGCTTACTTTGGTCAGAAGCGTAATTTTCTCAAGAACAAAGTGAGGTTGGACTTTGTGAGGGAAAGGAGGAGAGTGAAGAGAGAATATGATGAGTTTAAAGTCAGAATCAACTCGTTGCCCGAGGCGATAAGGAGGAGGTCTGATGCTTATAATGTCCATGAGGAGCTAAGGGCTAAGAAGAAACAAATGGAGATGATGATGGGAAGCAGCAATCCTGAAGAAACTGTTAAAGTTCAAAAGGCAACTTGGATGTCTGATGGATCTCACTGGCCTGGGACTTGGTCCTCTGGAGAAACCGATAACTCTCGAGGAGATCATGCTGGAATCATCCAGGTAACATTCTTCAGTCCAAAAATTTGTATGCTAATGAGTAATGTCTAGATGGTTTCATGTTTTTTAATGAGGTTTGTGTGTTTGGTGCAGGCAATGTTGGCTCCTCCAAATGCAGAACCAGTTTATGGATCTGAAGCAGATTCTGAGAATTTGATTGATACTACAGAAGTTGACATCAGGCTACCAATGCTGGTCTATGTGTCGAGAGAGAAGCGGCCTGGTTATGATCACAACAAGAAAGCAGGAGCCATGAATGCTTTGGTTAGAACGAGCGCAATCATGTCTAATGGTCCATTCATCCTCAATCTTGATTGTGACCATTACATCTACAACTCCATGGCTTTAAGGGAAGGAATGTGCTTCATGCTTGATCGCGGTGGCGATAGAATCTGCTATGTTCAGTTCCCTCAGAGGTTTGAAGGTATTGACCCGAATGATCGTTATGCAAATCACAACACTGTCTTCTTTGATGTTAGTATGAGAGCTTTGGATGGACTTCAAGGTCCAATGTATGTTGGAACTGGCTGCATCTTCCGCAGAACAGCTCTTTACGGGTTTAGTCCACCGAGAACAACCGAGCATCATGGCTGGCTTGGAAGGAAAAAAGTGAAGCTATCTCTAAGGAAACCAAATGCTACAATGAAGAAAGATGATGAGATTTCATTGCCTATGAATGGAGAATACAACAATGAAGATAATGATGATGGAGATATCGAATCTCTGCTTCTACCAAAGAGATTCGGTAACTCAAACTCTTTTGTTGCTTCGATTCCAGTTGCTGAATACCAAGGGAGGCTCTTACAGGACTTGCAAGGTAAAGGCAAGAACAGTAGACCAGCTGGATCACTTGCTGTCCCGCGTGAACCGCTCGATGCAGCCACAGTAGCTGAAGCAATCAGTGTGATTTCTTGCTTCTATGAAGACAAAACAGAGTGGGGCAAAAGAGTTGGATGGATCTATGGATCAGTTACCGAAGACGTGGTCACGGGTTATCGAATGCATAACAGAGGATGGAGATCAATCTATTGCGTGACGAAACGTGACGCTTTCCGCGGTTCAGCTCCGATCAACCTAACGGATAGGCTTCACCAGGTACTGAGATGGGCAACTGGATCGGTAGAGATCTTTTTCTCGAGAAACAACGCGATTTTCGCTACCCGAAGGATGAAGTTCTTGCAGAAAGTAGCTTACTTCAATGTGGGAATGTATCCATTCACATCGCTTTTCCTCATCGTCTACTGCATCCTCCCCGCGGTTTCGCTCTTCTCGGGTCAATTCATAGTCCAATCACTCGACATTACGTTCTTGATCTTCCTCTTGGCGATAACACTCACTCTATGTATGTTATCACTCCTTGAGATCAAATGGTCAGGGATTACACTTCATGAATGGTGGAGGAACGAGCAGTTTTGGGTAATCGGCGGAACAAGTGCACATCCAGCAGCTGTTCTTCAAGGACTACTCAAAGTAATCGCCGGAGTCGATATCTCCTTTACCTTGACTTCCAAGTCATCTACACCTGAAGATGGAGACGACGAGTTTGCTGATCTTTACATAGTGAAATGGAGCTTTTTGATGGTTCCTCCTTTAACGATCATGATGGTGAACATGATTGCGATCGCGGTTGGGGTTGCGAGGACATTGTACAGTCCGTTTCCGCAATGGAGTAAGCTTGTAGGAGGAGTGTTCTTCAGCTTTTGGGTGCTTTGTCATCTGTATCCGTTTGCTAAAGGATTGATGGGAAGAAGAGGGAAAGTTCCGACAATTGTGTTTGTTTGGTCAGGTTTGTTGTCGATTATTGTGTCTTTGCTTTGGGTTTATATTAACCCTCCTTCTGGTGGTAAACAAGACTTTATGCAGTTTCAGTTCCCTTGATTTTTAGGGTTTTTTCTTTTGTTTGTGGTACAAGGCATGAAACTTCTTGTTCTCAGCTTCATGTTTGTAATCAGATATTATAATTACTATTTTTTTTTTTAAGTAACTCCAGGTCCACTTTCTTACTTGCTTTATGGTTTTAATTATTATTTTTACAGATTAATGATTAGGAAAATTATTTAGATCTTCAAGTAAAGCACTGAACAATATAATAACAATAAAATAATTGAATCGGTAGTAAAATATTTTTTTTATTATTATTCAAACAGAAAGAAACATACATATTCAAATGCCGGTTCTCTCTTCAAAACCGGTCGGTCTAGACCAATGAAACTCCGCTAATCTTCGGTTTAGTCCTCATGGCTAGCTAGTTAAAAACGAAGAAAACCGAACTTTTAGATGAGATTGTGATTTCTGAACAATGCAATTAAGTAATTAACGATCCAAAATGTTAAGACTTTTTATTTATTTATTAAAAAATGATTTTATCCCACAAAACTGAGACTTTGAGAAAGTGACTGGTAAGTTACAGATTGACAATTGTTCCAAATCCATTATCAAAGCCGATTCTTTGTAACAAAAAAAAACTGACCAAGAAAAAGTGTGTTATGCAGAGCTTGTCCAATGCAGAAACTAGGTAAAGATTCTCGATCCTTATAGAGTTACTTAAACTCATAAGTGAAAATGTCTAAAACACTTTTCTCTTTATAAGCTAAATCCACTAAGAAACTAGAACAAAAAAATGCTAAACAATCTCTGAATCATTGTACTCATTGTGTTCCACTAACCCAATCCCACTATTACAATCTCCACCAATATAGTTCTTTTAAAACAAATTGAGCAAACCCAAAATCAAGTTCCATAAAATGATAAAAATTAAGGTTTTTTTCTATTGAACAAAGTGTAAAACAGAGTTTTTGGTGTAGAGAGTTTTACCGGTGAATATGTGTGGTCGAACTCGAATCGAATCGGCGTCAATGGGAATGTTTAAACAAGTCATAAGGTTCCCACAATGTATCTAAAGGACATGGATGCTTTGAATCAAGTCTTGACCATGGCTTACCACTACCTGACCAATGAAGCAAACTCACCGGACCATCATGCAAATCACGACAACTACCTCTAACTTTATCTCCACCGAGTCCATGCTGATTCCACCGATGTGAAATCGGAGCTACATGACCGGCGAATATCAAAAGATAAGGAGGAAGAGAACCAAGCTCATAAATCCTCTCAATTTTCTGAATCTCCATCCATTTCTCAATACGTTTCGTGTACTCAAATCTTCTCCATTTCTTCAAATCAATCACCATTACTCCTGTATTGAAGTAACAAAGATTATCTCTTTCTTTAAACGTCGAACTAAACCGTTCATCGGACCAAAACTTCCCGGTGAAGTAACTAGTGAAATTCGCGTGGCAATATTCCGGAGCTCCGATTGTTCTCGGACCTAAACCCGTTTTCCAAAGCTTTATTATATCATCGACCACGACAAGATCCGAATCCAAGTAAATAACCCGGTTCACACATGGCTCGAGCAAATCGGCTAAGTAATTTCTTGCGTAATTTAGCGGTTGTTCTAAAGCTTGTCTCACTGAAGATGAAATCAAAGACTGTACAGTCTCAGGGGCAAAATAGTAAATTTTAAGATTCAATCTTGGGAAAATCGACCGGATTAGAGATTCTAGGTTTGTGTCGGAGACGAGGAAGTGGAAGAAGATGTTTTCCGGACAAACTGAGTGTTGGAGTATGGAATTGACGGCGGCGATTGAGCCACGGAGGTAGATAGTGTCGAGGGTTAAAGCGACGTGGACGAAGGATGGGTTACAGACGCCGGAATCTTCGCCGGAAAATCTGCATTCTTCGGAATTTTTGAATTTTGGAGATTCTTTGTAGGAAGAGTGATCGGAGGAAGGTAAATGTCTGAAGTAAGCGTCGAGATGCGATGATCGGATTGCTGCCGCCGGAGAAAATGATTTAAGTGAAGGAGAAAGGAGAATCATTGTTAATGCGGCGGAGAAAAAGCCGGAGAATTTCGTAATCCAAAGCATCGCTGAAATGCTTTTTACTCTGTTTCGAAATTGGAAACACAGAGTTAATAAAAATGACTAAAGAGAAATCGAGCTCTGTGTCTCTTGCAGGTGAAGGAAGGAAGAAGAAGAAGAGAGTGATACAGTTAATTGTTTTTATAGACATGTCAATATGTCATTAGTGATTGAGTCTATGTTCTAAGTAAATTTTAATATTACATCAAAGATCAATGTTTTAAATAAAAAAACCTA